ATCAAAGTAAGATCAATTTCAAAATTCTTTTAATATTTTTTGTATTCATGTGAGTGTGTAAGGCAAAATGAAAGTAAAATACTAGAAGTAATTTTACTAGCATTATTATATATATATATATATCTATATATAGATTTGTTATTTCCTTTATTATGCTTTTTAAAATTGCTTGAAAATAAAGGTTAAAGCGGGTTAAGGTGAAAAAAAACAAAAACAGAGTTACGCATTTAATATGTTTGTAAGGTAATAATTATAACTACGACAATTAAGTGCAATATACCAATAATTTTGTTATATAATTTTATTATTAATAAAATGTATAATATAATTTTTATTTATGTTAAAATAACTGCCATTAACATAATATATGTATACGTCACGTAATAATTGCCTATATACTTGAAGATGCTGTAATAGGTAGAGTAGGATAGCCACAGGAGTCGCAACGGGCACCCTACCGTAATTTGGGATGACTACGCTCATGTTTTCCTATAGTTTATAATCTTATCGGAAAGCGAATCAGCGTTTTTAAATATTTGGTAGAACAACTTTCACTTCATTATATTAGCACCAGATGGCTACACTAGGCAGGAAGCAGTTTCAAAGATGGCTTAATTTTACAGAAGACAATGAACGAATAGAAAGTATTAATTCATTACAGCGCTTAACATTGCACAAGTGAAAGACGATTACTGAATGTATATCCTTTCTGTTTTTTTTGTTTTTTTTTTCCATTCTCCAATATTCCAGATGGTGTTCATAGCTTGAGGGGTTTGTCTTTTATTTAAATCCTAATGTGGTGTTGCTATGGTTATTTGGGTCACTAGCGTCAAAACTCTGGCAAAAAATTCCATTTTCACCTCGGCGAGAATCCTGCCAAAGGTCAGATTCTGACGTCAGAAAACCAGTGCAATGGTCAGAGCCATCTATTGCCAAAAGGTTACTTTCATTTTTCTCAAAATTCACTCTTAAGCAGAATCGTACCAAAGATCGTTAATCGTTAACCGTATAAAACACGCCGTGAATAACGCAAAGGACTTATAGTGTTCCCTGCTAAGGGGAATAGGAATGACAAAATATTTTTTTTTTTTTTTAATTAAACAATTCAGGTTTAAGCAAATGCATTGCAAAGTAAAAATTAGTTTTTTTTTAACTATCATAATATTCTTAATCACACATAATTAAAATTAAGATCGTGTAACAATTTACAATACAATAAACATCAAAATTGCCAACGACAAATTTAATTGAATTGGATGCAATTATTATCATATAGGATATTCATATGTTTTCGTTCTTAATACTCTATCAAATTTTGTAAATGTTTTAATACAGCTCTCATGGAACTTTATTTTAATCCCATATGATCAAGAATATTACGATTGTTATTTTATTTTCAGTTTTTAGAGCATTTGCTTTAAACCATTTAGTTTAAAAGATTTTATATGTGTTCTATTTTGCACTTGCCTGGAGGACACGTTTCTGACATCTTACGTCCAGTGGTTGCCCCTATCTCCGAGGCCATCGCCATGTTCCAATAAGATAATGCAAGACCACATGTTGCACGTCGTGTTTTGACCTTTCTTGATACTTTATTTTAATCCCATATGATCAAGAATATTACGATTGTTATTTTATTTTCAGTTTTTAGAGCATTTGCTTTAAACCATTTAGTTTAAAAGATTTTATATGTGTTCTATTTTGCACTTGCCTGGAGGACACGTTTCTGACATCTTACGTCCAGTGGTTGCCCCTATCTCCGAGGCCATCGCCATGTTCCAATAAGATAATGCAAGACCACATGTTGCACGTCGTGTTTTGACCTTTCTTGATACTTTATTTTAATCCCATATGATCAAGAATATTACGATTGTTATTTTATTTTCAGTTTTTAGAGCATTTGCTTTAAACCATTTAGTTTAAAAGATTTTATATGTGTTCTATTTTGCACTTGCCTGGAGGACACGTTTCTGACATCTTACGTCCAGTGGTTGCCCCTATCTCCGAGGCCATCGCCATGTTCCAATAAGATAATGCAAGACCACATGTTGCACGTCGTGTTTTGACCTTTCTTGATACTTTATTTTAATCCCATATGATCAAGAATATTACGATTGCTATTTTATTTTCAGTTTTTAGAGCACTTGCTTTAAACCATTTAGTTTAAAAGATTTTATATGTGTTCTATTTTACACTTGCCTGGAGGACACGTTTCTGACATCTTACGTCCAGTGGTTGTCCCTGTCTCCGAGACTATCGCCATGTTCCAATAAGATAATGCAAGACCACGTGTTGCTTGTCGTGTTCTGACCTTTCTTGATAAACAGGGTATTCGATTGCTGCACTAGCCTGCACGGTCTCCAGATCTGTCACCCATTGAAAACATCTGGTCGTGGGTTGCTGAGACACTGGCCCGCCACTCTTCTCCAGCTACTACGGTTGATGAAGTGTGGCATACACTTGAAACAACATGGAATGAGTTGCCCATTTTTGTCATCCAAGCCCAGTTTGACTCCATGCCTAGCCGGGTAAGGGCCATTTTAGCTGCCAGGGTTGGCAGCTGTTTCTACTAATTTCGCATCCTTGTAAACCTCCAAAATGCTGGAGGTTTAGAGGAGTTTGTATTTGCTTTCTTTCATGGTGGGGTAATTTTAATGTCCAGCATTGTATATAGTATCCCGAAATATTACGTATGGTATATGAAGGATACTTAGTAAAACTTGGACTCGCGAGATATTATATTATCAAAATACGAATAAATTCAAGAAAATATGCTTGATAGATAATAATCAAAAATTAATTATAAAATTTGGCCAAAACAAACGGAGAAAAAAAGTCAATAAAATCGTGCAAAGTAAGAAGAAAGGAATTTATGGAACAGATGAATAGTGAAACCGAATTTAGAATTATCAAGAGAGGAAAAGTTTTTCCGTTTCTTTCTTATAAACTTAAGGGGGCTCATACACCTTAAACCCCTTATGATCTTCGAATATGTAATTGTTGCAAGAATTTGGATATTTTATTTATTTTAAAAGCAATTACTTCCATCTTTTTACAGCTGACTACATAATATAGCTGCTTTGGGAACTAGTAACCAGAAAATTTGTACTGCCACAAATATTTTTGTAAAATAATCCGCTTTGTGACAAAATATTTCGTCATGTTTCCACCTTGCGCGCATGATATTTTAAAAAAGGCTAATGGTACATTCTTTAAATTGGATGGAATTCTTTATATGGGCACTATTTTTTAACTGAACCAAAAATCTGATGAATATTTTAATATTAAAAGATTTTATGCACGAAAATATTACAGATTTTTTTAATAAAATACATTTTATAAACTCAATTACAAATAAAATAAAAATTTAATCGGAAATTCTCAGAATTTTTGGTTCACAGTAGTTCTCAAATGTTTTAAAAGCTATATATTAAATATGAAATAATATTATGCAACAGAATGTTTTAAACTGTGCGCGCAACATGACGAAAACTTTTGTCACAAAGCAAATTAAATTATAAAAATATTTGTGGCAACACAAACTTTCTGGTTACTATTTCACAAAGCAGCTATATTATGTAGTCAGCTGTAAAAAGATGGAAGTAATTGCTTTTAGCATAAATGAGTTATCCCAATTCTTGCAACAGTCACATATTCGATGATCTTATGGGTTTTAGGTGTGTGAGTCCTCTTAAGTATTATGAATTGCCTCGCTTTCTGCATTTAATAACGTGGATTACATTAATTACAATGCATGGCATCGATAGTAAGATGTGTAACCAAATTCCAAACTGTTAAGTGTAGAAAAAATAGGTAATATTAATGTTGTAATGCAACAATATTATAATAACCTCGCATTTTATATTAAATGTTTAAAATGTCAAGTATATTTTGTTCAAATCTGTTGCAAATTATTATTTTCTTATAAAAAATGTGACATAAACCTACCGGATTATCACGTGAAATAATTCTTGATGTTTACTTATGATTCAGGATTTAAAACTTCAATCACATGGTACTGTTGAGTGATAAATGTTCTGTTCATCCAGTCCGCATTTGTTAACAATATTCTTTGACATTTCGACATATGAATATGCATATAAGACACAAGCATTCGTGTTAATGTTTTTCCTTACACTGTTAATTTCATTTTAAGTTTCAAGAACATTTGTGTCTCTTTCCCTAAATGTTTTCAGACACATGATGATTTCTCTTTAAAAAAAGCAGATTTTAAGTTCTGAAGAATGAATGCAGATGAAATTCTGAAGACACCAAGAAACTCAAAAGGTGAATTTAAATTTATTTTATGAGATAAATAAAATCAATACCACCCAAACAGGCCAGTGGTTCATGACTCTGACTACCCACCGAAGACCTTTCCACGAATCTCCGCGAAGGCATGGATGCTAGTAAATATAGAGTATCTGTACACCATGATGGCACTCTAAATATCCGGCGAGCCGAAAGTCCTCTCGAGAGGTTGATGGTAGAGGTAGAAGGTTGGGAGTCCTTGCCAACGACAGGCGCATATGACTCCTTGCCATGATGAATGTCGTGGTCGTCTCGCTTGTCTGACCTTCGTCACACAAGCGAGATCGGTAACAACAACAACAAATAATTAGTAGATAATAAAATGATGCTCTTTTCTAAGCATTCTTTGCAGTGGTTTCTTTATGAAGTACTGTAGACTACTAAATTAGAGGAAAAAATGTTGAGTTCTCAATTAAGAAACACTAAAGTTTCAAATATTTGGATCTAAATTACATGCTTCATTAAAAAAAATTACTTATAATGTAAATGTGCAAAAATAATTTTGAGAGGACATAAATAAAATGGTTGCCAGGAAGATGAATGCATTTGATTTGGCTGTTCATGTTTTATTTATACTTCTTGGTATTAATGATTTCAGTGTATGAGGTACTCTTTACTTTTGAATTTATTAGAATCGTGGAATTATATAGAACTTGAGCGTTTTTAAACTGAAGTAAAACGAAAGGCTATATTGCATTAACATAAATAGTTTATTTCTTTCTTTTTTCTGATACAGATTAGCTTGTGATCATGACATTTACCAGACCTTTCCAAGTCCGTATTTTCCAAGACCAAGCCCATAAGCTCCGTGAGCAGCATAGGGAGCAGCAAGTCCGTGACCATATGCTCCAGTATATGCGAGAGGTCCACCAGCAAGGTATCCATGTCCTGCCCAGCCGAGTGGTCCAGCAGCAAGGGGTGCAGCAGGAGCAACGTGACTGATTGCGGTGCTATAGGCGGCTCCAGCTACAGGTCCGGCAACAAGGCCCTTGCCATAGCCATATACGGGCGCTCCTAAGTATCCTACCCCATGGCCAACAAGACCTACAGCCTGAACGGCGGCTAAAGCGGCACAGAAAATAATAACCTAAATGAGAAAAAGGGAAACATACTTATATATATATTACAGAAAAAACACGATGTACACTGCAACAATATTCATTGCAAATGTATAACACTAGATAAGATAAAGTGTCGCCCCGTCGGTATAATGGTCAGGGAAGCTGACTGCGATGCCGAAGGGCCTGGGTTCGAATCCCGGAGAAGGCATGGTTGTAACTGTCCGTCCCTTCATAGGAAATGCGATGGTGGCCCACCTATTAGGTGCCTCCATAATAAAGAGACCACCACATCCGGCATTGTATAGATTAATGGACTGGGTTATTTTGCAATTGTTTACAATCTGCCATTGGAAATAAAAAGATAAAATAAAGTAACCAGTGCCGCTATAATTCAGACTATGTCATTTTAACAAGTAGATTTTGCCCTTTTGTCAGTTTGGGGATTTTTAGTAGTAAATATAAAGCAGATATTGAAAATTTGGCTAGAACATTTTTTTAATATTTAATAAGGATTGATGTTCTCTGTTCGTTCGAATGAATTGATTTATTGTATGTTTAACCTACTAAAATACGAATATATCCCAGTAGAAAAAATTAATATTTGTTGCTTGTTAAGTTATACAGTTTATACAGAAAATGCTTTCGTCTTAATTTAATAATTTTTGAATCAAATCGAAAAATATACCATAATTTACTCCAGTCCTAATGTAAGCTCTTAATAGTATAATTTGCTCAGATGGAGAATTACCAATGGATTGCTTTTCGACAACCCCTTAAAGAAATTAAAACCTTAAAATTTCCAATGATATCCATTGCAAAATAGTTTATTTTGTTTTTAAGGCTTGCCTGAATGCAGCTTTTTAATTAGAAAGCTTTCTTGAACATTTATATTAAAAAAAAATCCTTTTGCATTTTTTTGTTTACTGACTTCCAAGTATTTCTAAATCCAACTAAGCAAAACCGATTTCAGAAAAGGCGATTTTAAGTTTAAAGAACTTTAAATTTAATAAAACTGGCTGAAATTTACATCAGATTACAACAGTTTTGAAATGAAGATGATCTTAAATTTTGGGTATTGTTTCCAGCAATGAATAATGTCTTTTTTTTTTTTTTTAATTAGCATTCGAACGACGAAATAGAAAACTTCAGCTAGAAAAGGGCAGCATATGAAATATATTGACACATTTTGTAGCAATTTTGATATATAATAATTAACATCAAATTTAATTTAAATATTGAATTTAAAATATAAACATTACTGGCATCAAACTGGAATAAGGTTTATTTAATTATCGTCTGCAGCATTAAAAATATTCTTTTCTTTAAAATGTCACTGAAAAATGAATAATGGATCGAAGGCTATATTTTTGCGCTGTCCGAAGAGAAATGCTCTTATTCAAGTATTAAAAAAAGATGTAAAAAGTATGGTTTACTATCAGAAATATATTTTAACACTTATTTTTCCAGAAGAAATTCCATCTCTTTATCCAAACAAACTATGTTAAGCTCCATCAGAATAAGGCTCCAAACCATACCTATAATACCACTGCTCTATTTTTTTGAGAAAAAAAAATGAGAAATGAAACCGGAATTAAAGTTATTCACTTTAAATGCATCACCTCTTAATCCTCCAATGTGTCTCCTACGGATTACTGTGCATTTCGACTTTTAAAACAAGCTCTTTATAAGCGGCATCCCAAAACACTAGATGGACTCTGGAAGATTGTGAAGGAAGAGCGGAATAAAATCAACCTTGGTGTTTTCAGAAAAGGACTTTTATCTTGGAAATCAAGATGCAATATGATAGTTCAACAAAAGGGGTATCAGTAGAAAATATAATTCCAAGATTTGTTTATATATAAATCTTGCAAAATCGTTGATAAAATGTGTAAAAACCTTCTGTAAATGTTACATTACTTTTGTGAGAATAAATTAAATATGACTGACAACGATATAATACTTAGCTTTACTTCAGTAATTGGTTACATTAATATTTAAGAAAGCTTCTTACTATGAAATGCCTTAACTTCCGTAGGTTTTTCACTTATCATAAAGTTATACGCTAAGCGGTTATTTTTAATCGGTTATATTTATTGAAAGAATTTCTTAAAACTTTAGCCTGAAATATAGTTTTTCGTTACTACGGCAGGTGCTAATCTCAATTGAAAATTTCTTTGTATTTCATGTTCTGCATTATTTTGTAAGTAATTCAAGTTTTCTTACATAGTCTCTGAAACGTATGTACAGCCAAAACATAAAATGTTGCCCGCTTTAAAAGTTTTTTACAGGAATGCAAATTACAGAAGGTACACTTTTATTCTTAGTTACAGAAGCAGTATTTTAATTTTACAGACACGAAAATAATTACCTTAATAATAAACTTTTTTTTTCAAAGTTGCGTTAAAATTCTGTTATGATACAGCGCAAAAACATAGGCAGTAATTCAAAATATAAATATATTTTTCAAAATTCAAGAATTATTCATATATCTGTCTAATATTTGTTTGGCCTACGGCGGTAATAGAATAATGGCTGAACACAAGTAGTTCGATCCCAGCTGCCTGCATGGAAGTTTACGTGATTTTCCCTATGTGTAATGTGAATAAGAGCTAATTCCCGTTAGAACCCCCCGGGGACTCCCCCCCCCAGTATAGAATCAAAATGACCTTTCAAGACCACTTTATCAAAACCTTGAATGATTCCATCTTATGTCAAGTTTTAGACACATCGCTGTCGAATGTTTTGCCATAATCATAATCATACTTATATATTCCCATATAGTAGCATTCAGAACGGAAAATTAAATTAGGGTCTTTTTGCATTATTATATCTCTAACTTGTTAGTTGTTTCATGCTATTTGTTAGACTTATATCTTCACAGAATTTTTATGTTTATAAATTAATGCAGAAAGTTTTGGATAAAATAAATAAATAAAAGGTAATAAAAATAAATAAATAAATAAAACGATAACAGAAACAAAAAATCTGAAAGATTCCAGATCTTAATTCCGTCCAAAGGGGCGTTTTTTAACGTTTTGTGTGTTACCTATATTTATTGAATATCATTTTCTTTGCACTTCATAAAATTCAGTTCAACAGCAATGTCGCAAAATAATTTTAAAATGAGCATATCTTTAGAATTTCCGATACACAGTTCAGCGCGTTGGAGATAATCCCCCCCCCCCTCCGTACAGTATTGCTATTGCTCGCTTTGAAATCGAAATCGTTGAGCTTGCTAATCAAAAATTCGCTGAAGTTTTACAAAATATGAAATCGATCATAAAACAAATTCCAAATTTCAAATTTGGGCTTTCAGATTCCCATGTTCGCAGTAGGATTACGTCATTCCAAATTGGATAGCTCTAAGTATTTAGTTTTATCACAATGCGAGAAACATACATACATTTATGCAGATTCTTCATTATTTAATTTCTTCAGATATAATACAGGACGATAGTATTTGGTGGCAACGATTTGAAAAGTGATACAGACTTTTAGAATTTTCAACGCAAAATCGCAAAACGAAAACAATAGTCCTTCAGGGACAAAGCCCCTTTGGACTTAAAATCCGAATGCTTTCAGATTTTGCATTACTCCCAATGGGGCGTTTTTTTTTTAACGTTTTGTGTGTTACCTTAATTTATTAGATATCATGTTCTTCGAAATTAAACCATAAAATTCAGTTCAACAGCAGTATCGCAAAATAATTTTAATATGAGGATATCTTTAGAATTTCCGATACTCAATCTCAGCTGGAGAAAATTGTTTTCGCCCCGTACAGTTTTGCCATTGCTCGCTTTGAAATAGTTGAGCTTGTTAATTAAAAATTCGTTAAAGTTTTACAAAATATGAAATAGGTAATAAAACAAATTCCAAATTTGGTCTTCCAGATGCCCATATTCGGTGAAGGATTACGTTATTCAAAATTCGATGGCTCTTAGTATTTTGCTTTATCACAATGCGAGAAACATACATACATTTATGCAGATTCTTGATTATTTAAATTTCTTTAAATATATTACAGGGCTCTAATATTTGATGGCAACAATTTGAAAAGCTAATCAATGTTTCTTCAAATTTGTGTACACTAAGTAATATAGATGTTTCTTTGTCTCTTTTAAGTGCAATTTTGTGACAGAAAAGTCGCGAAGTGAGAAAATTTACAGCACTGTTTAACGCAATCTGCTGCAACAAGTGATAAGTTTAATATTTACCTTATCAGAAAAGTATATTTTATGTCCTACAACTTACCCGTACGTTTATTCGTTAAGAAGTTAAGTCTGTAATTAAAAGTTTCATTGTTGAAGAAAATAAAAAATCTAATTCAAGGCATTAATAATATGCGTTATTTAAAAATCAGAATTTATTTTAGTGAAAGATACTATATAAGGCTTGCAAGGTAGCAGGTAATATTACGTATTTTAATGGAACTAAAGATCATTCCTTTATTTAAAGCTATAAGAATTAAAGTCCGAAGCTTCTTCCCACGTCTTAAATCAGAAGTTAAATTATTTTCTTAAAAACCCTATTTTACTAGTAATTTATAATATTTAAATAAAATACAGTTCCTAATGTATAAATTCATAACTATATGATAGCAAGAATCTTAAGTCCAAGGCTTCTTAGACTGGTTAAACATAGAGAAGTAAATGTGTAGCTACGCTGCCAGCCTTCGTGTGGCTTTTAAATGTACCGTAAAAATGCCTGAAGGGAACACCAAACGTTAAATTTAAAAACTGCTCAGAATTTTACTCTGCAGAAAACTTCCGGAAAAAAAAAACAGAATTTTAAAAAATATATTTACATATAAAAAAAAAAAAATTAACCAGCTTTCCGGTGAAGAAAAACAATCATGCAAAACTTTTCAATATCTTACAGACAGTGAAATAAGCAAAAAATAACATGAAAGAAACTCAAAAAACCAAAAAATTCCGCTCAGAATTTTACTCTGCAGAACAACGTTATCAAAAAAAAACTCAATAAAAATGTATTATATATATAAAAAATGACAATGAAATATACCAATCTCTTAAAAACAATGACATAAGAAATACGATGAAAAATTGTTGCCAAACTATATTTCTAAAAGAATGAAACTATTCAAAATGATGCGATTTCATCAAAAATCTATCAACAACAATAAGAAAGGAAAATGGTTGCCAAAATCACATTTTTAAAGATGTGAGATATGAGAAGTGTACTTGGAAACTTCATTTAATTTTTTTTTTTTTTAAATACAAAATATTATCATTTTTCCAAAATTCTTCTTGTAAAAGCAGTCGCAACGATGAAAGTTTAACGTGTTCAAAAATAAAAGAAAAATAAACTGTACATTTTTAAAAATAAACTTTTTTAGAAAAAATCCCGTTGAAAAGGTGTTAAGCTCACTTTGTTAATTAAATTCTTATTTAATCGATTTATTGAAACACGAAATTTATTTAAGTTCGTAAAATAGCTAAGTGCCTACGTTTCATGACGATGTGAAAATGGAGTGTGTAGAGTAAAATTTCGCTTTCCTATAGCCCATTATGTCTCAAAATGACGCGATTTCGTCACAAAACATAAAATTTAAAAAAAATCTAATTCGAATTTCGAAAAAATCTCTTCGAGGTGCACTGGCTCTTGTCTAGATGCACCTATGTACCAAATTTCATAGCCCTGGGTCTATTAGCTTACTCGCAGCGCGAACGAAAGGCACACACACAGACAGACTCTTTCTTTTATTATATGTAACATAAATCAATATGTAGATTAAACTCATATTAACGTGAGCTTGAAACAAAGATCCAGTTTAGGCATTTTCTAACATAATATCTACATTGCTTACTCAAAAAACTTGTAATCTGTCTACTCATTTCATTTTCCCTACGAAAATCAGAGATTTGCAAGAACCACATATATAAGAAGTTCTTCAAAAACTTAAGCATCAAAATACGTAAACTAGTAACGAAACATAAAATTTTGTATACTTACCTTTGCGAACATTTTGGCTGTTGTTGAGTTACTCAGCTACTCGAGTGAATAACAAACGGAGTAAAGTCAGAGTTTATATACTTAACGGGGGTGAAAGAAAAATAACAGCACGTGGTTTATGAAACAAACACAAATATAAATTGATCTACTAAACTACCATAATGTTACAAACTCGTCCTTGAGGAGCCATAAGTCTTCTCCACCCTCAAAAGTAGGCAGGTGCTTGGCATTGGATTTTGATCCCTTTCTTCTCAATGCTCTGGATAATACAGAACTGGTTTTCATGAGGTAGACATGAACTGATAATATGAATTGTATTGTAATATGGTTCTCGAAAGCAAAAACCCACAATGAATTCATACAATGCAGTAATAGGAAATTTATTTAGAATTTATTAGTCCAAAGCGGCAATTTTCCCAGAAGAACTGTTTCCCGATAAGCATTGTTTCACTTTTCAAATTGTTGCCACCAAATATTAGAACCCTGTATTATATTTAAAGAAATTAAATAAGGAAGAAACTGCATGAATGTATGTAAGTTTCTCGCACTGTGATAAAACGACGGTACCTAGAGCCATCAAAATTTGAATAACGTAATCTTCCATAGAATATGGTTATGTGGGAGCCTTAATTTGAATTTGAGTTTTCTTTTATTATAGATTTCATATTTTGTATTATATATGTTTTGTAATCGATTTCATATTAACCTTCAACGAATTTTTGATTACCAAACTATGCGATTTCAAAGCGAGCAATGGCAACACCCTGCGGAGGGGGGGGGGGGGGACCTTTTTATCTCCAACACGCGAAACTGTGTATCGGAAATTCTAAAGATATGCTCATTTTAAAATTATTTTGCGATATTGCTGTTGAACTGAATTTTATGATTCAAATGCGAAGAACATGATATTTAATAAATAAAGGTAAACAAAATGTTAAAAAAAGGCCCTTTGGACGTAATTTAAAATCTGAACAACTTTCAGATTTTTTTTTTTTTTCGCTCCGTTTACGAGAACTCAAATCTTATTAAAGAAATAGTTTAAGATAGTTTAGATGTAAAGGAATATCAAAAAATTTCGAAAGTATTTAGTGTTTTTTTTCCAAAGAAACGAAGTAAATAGACACCTGCTGTTACTTTTATAAAAGAAAGTTCTAAATTAATTGTTTATTCATTCTTTACCATCTAATTGTAGAACAAGAAAAAAAAATTGCCCACATTCCCATTACTGTTTCCCAACACTCATGTATACGAGCCAGTTTCCCTTAGAAAATCTTCCACGAAGGCATCCCTCCCCTTAGGCAAATAGCTCTCGAGGCTTTGCCATAATCACATACACACTGTTTTCCAACACTCCTAGCTCATATATGTTTTTTACTAAAGAATTCATGAGCGCTGCACATTACTAAATCAAATCTCTGGAAGCAATTAATAAAAGTCCCTTTTCAATTTTCGGTTTAGTTACTAAAAATCTCGAAGAAAAACTCTTCGAGGTTTTTATTGCTTTCATTTCACGCATTTCGAGTTCTAGAATATAGAACTCATACTTGTTACTTTTAAAAAATTAATTTGTCAAAGTAGAAATTCAATAATTTGGCAAAATAAAGTGTGTTTAACACTTGAAAGAAACACTTTTTGCAAAAGAAATACTGAAATAAATACTTAAATACATCTAGAATAAATAAATCTTTTTTTATTAATAAATTCACATGTCTTCACAAGACTTCAATTAATGACAAAATAACTTTGTAGAATATTTTTCCCCGTTTTGAAAGTTCATTTTAAATATAGGATTTTATGTTTCTGGGGACGGGGAGGTTTAAGTTGCTATCGCACTGCTAATCTCAAAAATGTTTCCGATGTTAAACCAAAAGTTGCTTACCCGGATCAGGTTGCAATTTGTCTTTTATGCTTATAATTTTTACATTTTAAAACTTTTTAATATTTTTTATTTTTTCATTTAAATTTTGAACTTGTTCACGATGTGAGACTTTAATCTGAAGTCTTCTCACTGCAGTTTCTGGGGGAGAAGGAAACATATTTCCACCTACATGTAGTTCACTCTTTTTCTTTCCCAGTAATTGAATATATTTACTCTGCGCATATATGAATCAAAACTCTTGAATGGCATCAGGTAATAAGTAAAATATTCTTTTAGTATTAAAATTATTTTATTATTGAAATTTTAGTTTATTTATTTTTAATTTATCTGCCTTCAAAATAAAGAAATTTAGATTTTCTAAATTTCTGACTTCAAAGTGAAGAAATTTAGAAAATCACACTTGTCCCATCGCTTTTGTTTACAGTGAAATTTTATTTTATTCACATATTTCTGAACCTCCAATATTTTTTGTCCATGTCTCATGTTTATACTGAATAATATCGTATTTATTCGAATATTTCTGAACTTCGAATATTTTTATCCCGTATCTTCTGTTTATAGTGAATAATATCGTATTTTTTCTCGTATTTCTGAGCCTCCAATATTTTTCTCCCACATCTTTTGTTTATAATGAAAAATATCGTATTTATTCACATGTTTCTGAACCTCGAATTTTTTTGTCCCATATCTTCTGTTTGTAGTGAATAACATAGTATTTATTCGAGTATTTCTCAGCTTCGATTATTTTTGTCCCATATCTTCTGTTTGTAGTGAATAACATAGTATTTATTCGAGTATTTCTCAGCTTCGATTATTTTTGTCCCATATCTTTTGTTTATAATGAAAACTATCGTATTTATTCACATATTTTTGAACCTCGAATATTTTTTGTCCGGTATCTTCTGTTTATAGTGAATATCTTATTTATTCGAGTATTTCTCCAGCCTGGAATATTTTTGTCCGTATCTTTTGTTTAATAAGTATTTCCTTCTAAAGAGAGGGCCAACCAGCGGCCGAGCGGTAAAGTCGCTGAACACTGGTAGTTCGGTCCGAGGTTCGAATCCCTCGAACGGGCTGGCTGCATGTGTGTTTTCGTGATTTTCCCCATGTGTAACGTGTGTACGAGTCAGTTTCTCTTAGAAAGTCCTCCACGAAAGGCATTCCTTCTCTTAGGCAGATAGCCCTAGTGTGCTTTGACATAATTAAATACACCACCACACCTTCTAAAGGGCGAAACAACGGAAAAAGTCGAAAATATCTGATTCTGAATTCGTTGATTCAGTACTATGTTTTCTTAAAGTTTCTGTTGAGAGAAGTTTTATTATAAACTTTTATTAATTATTATTACTGTTACTTTGTACAGCCGAAAACATCGCGGCAAAAACATCGCAGACGAAAATGTCGCGAAGAAAACAACGCAAGGCGAAAACGTCGTGCTACAAAACATCGTGGGATAAAACATCGCAAAGAGAAAACATCGCAGTTCGAAAACATCGTGGTACAAAACATCGTCGTCGAAAATAAAGCGGTTCAAAAACATCGCAGTTTAAAAACATCGTCGTCGAAAATATCGTGGTAAAAAATAAAGTATCTACAAATCATCGCATGACGATAACATCGCAGACATGCTTTTTTCAGGAATGCTTTAATAAGTGTAAATGGATATTCCCATAATGATTTGTGAGCGCAAGATGAAAAGAAGGATAATTTTTACTTTCATATTTTTTATTAATTAATAAATTTTTGCTGAGAAAATAGAAAGGAAACTTTAGCATAAACAATTAATGCAACTTATAGCACTTAATAGAATTTTAAACCGACATAGTTAACTAACAAAGGCCATTAATAAATCATTTTTATAAAGTTTTTACTGGTAATATTTCATGAAAAGTATAATCTATAAGTTACATTTAATTTTCTATGCTTAAGTTTCCTTCTTACGTTTTCAGCAAAAATTTATTAGTTAATAAAATATGTGAAAGTAAAATTTATCCTTCTTTACACCTTGCGCTCACAAATCATTATGGGAATATCCACTTACAATTATTAAAACCTGAAAAGCATGTCTGCGATGTTATCGTCATGCGATGATTTGTAGATACTTTATTTTTTACCACGATATTTTCGACGACGATGTTTTTAAACTGCGATGTTTTTGAACCGCTTTATTTTCTACGACGATGTTTTGTACCACGATGTTTTAGAACTGCGATGTTTTCTCTTTGCGATGTTTTCTCCCACGATGTTTTGTAGCACGACGTTTTCACCTTGCGTTGTTTTCTCCGCGACGTTTTCGTCCACGATGTTATCGGCGGATACCGAAACAACGGAAAAAGTCGAAAATATCTGATTCTGAATTCGTTGATTCAGTATTATGTTTTTTTAAAGTTTCTGTTGAGAGAAGTTTTATTATAAACTTTTATTAATTATTATTACTGTTACTTTGTTTAATATTAGAGTGTCACAAAAATGATTTTCACAAAATGAAATTCACTCTTTGAACTTTTATATACTTTAATGACCATAAAACTAAAACAAATTAAAATAAAAAGTTAAGAGTTTTATTTTGATTATATGTAAATTCAACATTCATTTTGTACTAAGTATATTTTCGAATTGAATTCAAAACTCAGTATTTTTTGTTTAATAAAGAGAAATATTCTCACAAAAATAATCGGGCACTTTTAGTAACAGCCAAAAAGTGACAAAAGTTACATTGCTTTTCCTCCTTTCACTGCTTTCAACTGTTGCCGCGAAAATTTGCTTTCTTTTCGCGAAATTTTTCATTCTAGCTCCCGCCAAATATATTCAATAGGGTTAGGATTTGGAGACTGGAATGGTGCCTTAATTACTTCTCGACACTTATATAACAGCCAGAGCCTGATGCACATGTTCTATGAAACCCCATAGAACATGTGCGGGATGCTTAGGGGAGACGCTTGTGACACGATTACATCCTCCGGGGAACACCCAGCAACTGAAACAGACGCTGATTGAGGAATGGGCACTTTTACCTCAAGATCTATTGGACAATCTGGTGCTGAGTATGGAGAGACAGTTCGAAGCAACCATTGCAGTAAGGGGAGGGCATATCCCATACTAAGGAACACCTGCTTGTTGTTCTTCTTCTTGTACAGACAATCAAGTGTAACGATACTATGAGTTCAATAAAGCCTATTTTTGTTTGATTCCATACTGTATGCATTGTATTCATTTTTAGAACAATTATGCTTTCGTCATCGTTTAAATACAAAATGCTGTCTCTTA